AAAAAAATACAATATTTTCAAATAAATTAGATATTTATCAAATTCATACCTTTATTATTCAGTTCAATGTCTAAATCAATACTATTATTGTTCTAATGAACTACAATCCCATGAATAAAGTTGTCCTTGCCACATATCAAAAAAAAAAAAAAAACCTCAAACCATTGATATTCTAAAAAGAAAAGAATGCATAAATTTGAAATAAATAAAGTTACAATATTCTTTCAAAAGAACAGCCATCATATCTTCTATAAAAAAATTCATAAAAAAAAATAATAAAACTAATAAGGAAAATAGTTTATACAACAATATACATATTTTGGACTAATTAAGATGAAAAAGACATAGAAAATAAAAATATTATATTATATTTAAATACAATATGAAATAGGAAATAAAAGGAAAAATAATATTTGGAACTCATCATATTAATAAGAAGAAATTGAAGAAATGAAGAGGAAAATATAATATATTAATGTAAAGAAAATTGAAAGTTTATATATAAGTGGGAAGGAAAATAGAAGGGCATAAAGAAATACTGTTTAGTATTTAATGCAATCTTTTATTTTTTTAATAAAATATATATTTCTCTTTTAAAATAAAAATAAAAATATTTAATGTTTAATGAATGTATTATAAAGTAAAATGAAACTTCTCAATTGTACATGAACAAGAAGAAAACAAAAAAAGGTTAGAAAAAATTATAATGCACAAATAGTTATTATGTTATGCATTACAACCCTATACTTTTCCTCTTCATAAAATTTAGGTGTCTATTTATCTTTCTTTATTTTAACGCATTACATTATATTATGTACGTAGTGAAAATTAATAATGATAAAATAATTGAAAATATAAAGATAAGAAGTAGAAGACAAAGAATATGAGAAAATAAAAAAGTTGAACTCATGTTATTAAACAGAATTATTTACATAATTTATTCTTTTATAATTAAAATTAAATGAAAAATTTTAGGGCCTAATTAATGTTTGAAGATACTATTCATCTAAATTATATTTGTTGAGAAATTAATTAGTTTTGATTTGTTATTTATATTGTATAATTATGTAATAAATAATAAATAAAAATATATCATATATTATTATATATTATATATGTACATAAAAAGGCATACCCTATTTAATGCATGGGGTAGCATCTTATATATATACATAGATTTGCATTAGTTTACTAAAAATAAAATGAATAATATCATCCATAGCAAGCTAAAAATATAAAAAAATGTTATATTGACGAACGTTTATATTTTATGAAAGGACCATGATTGGTGCACACCCGGATCCAACACCCAGGTGTGAACTCCCCACATAAAAAAAAAA